TTGGTTGAGGCATACATGCAAACTTTCAATGTGTATTTTTCGATTTTCAATTATTTTCATTTTTGATATTGTATGATCATGATCTTTCTTGCACATTCTTTGATCACATGCTACATGATTCGTGATGCATACTAAAATTTCATTTGGTATTGTTTTACACTTCTATTCATGTTTGCATTAAGTTTGTTCCTCATTGGAATGAACTTAATCTTGTACAATCAATAATTCATCCTTTGCTTCAACGATTTTTCATCCCTTTGAAAAAATGTTAGCATCTTCCCCTTTTGATTGATTAATCGAAACTTCGCTTTGATTAGTCGATTCTTCCTTTTTCCTTATCCTCTGGATCTTCTAGAGCTTTGTCCTCTCTTTCTCCCCCGTGGAGTTGAAGATTCGAAACGCATTGGAGCACTGTACAAACTCGGCACCATTGTGATGTCGATTCGTTTCTTGCACAACACTTTGGTGTTAGAGAATGAATGTGAAGGGAGAATTCCTACACTCATTCTGACTATTTTGGGTAGGGGACGAATAACCTTGTGCCTGGAATAGTCGCCTCTATCTCCTTACTGTGGTATCCCTGCTTTCTCCAGTCGAGTCGATCCTTGATCACTCGCACCTTTACCTCCTCTTTGGAAGTGACTCTCGCCTTTCAATTCAACACTCTTTTCTCTTAAGGCCAATATGTTCTTGGTCACCCAGAGTCTTGTAGTCAATTATTTCCTTAGTTGACCAACCGTTTCTTCGGTAAAACCTAATCCTCTTCTTTTCCTTGGTTCCTTGAACTATGGAGCTCTGACTTCCTCATTGCACTATGAGGGTACGTAGGCACGAGGGCCCCAATCCTCCGTGAGCACTTTCTTTCTCTTTTTCTATCTTTTCTTTGCTTTTTAGCTAGAAGCCTTTAGATAGATAACCCATCCAAGCCTAGAAGCAAGTGAAATGGTTCCCGTCAGGTACGGCGAATGCTTAAGGTGCTAGTACCTTCCTTTCGCATAACCGACCTCCTTTCCCGTTTCTCTTCCCTTGGGTTTTATCGATATTTTTCCTGTCCTTTAGGGACTATATAAAGTTCGGTGGCGACTCTATTGTATCTTTGAGTGTGTCATTCACTCAGGTATAATCCTGCTAGCTCTAGTGGGGACGTATATGTTGGTCGTCGAAGGCCTGAATTCGCCCCATTGTGAAACATAATTCGTTCCACCATGGCTTCTAGGTTGGGTTCACCAGCCATGGCTTCGTGTCGAACCTACCTGACCATATAGTTGGGGTCCTAGTTTTTATAAACTAAAACAACGGGAGGCCTTTGGGCCATCCTGGGTGTGTGTTTGACCTCGTAGGGCTGTTGGTTAATCGTTTCGTCAAAGACTTCTTCTTGTCGAACTGGCGTCTCCGATCGAGGTGGAGGCGTGTGTCGACCTATGGCCCTAGGGGCACCTAAAAAATCACCTATCAGTGTCATCTGAGTTGCCAATTGTTGGTAACTCTGAGTCGAATCGTGTATTAATAGCCTTAGTATGGTGTCCATCTGCTTGGTCAATATGTGGACCATTTCGTGGTTACTTTCGTCCATTTTTTGCCTCATAACAGCGACACAACTTGACGTAAAAGTTGAGAGCTAAAGTGACGGAACGCTAAACCCTGAGGGCCTTGTGACTTGATGCGTCAAAGGCCTTAAACCCTGATAGGAGGAAAATGCTGACGAAAAGCTTTCCCCAAAGAGTGGGCCACTGTGATGCAAACTCGACATAAACTCTGTCAGCATCCCAAAGGCCCTAGGGGATGGTATTGTGAAACTAAGCATATATTGCCCCCCAGTTCTCGTCACCATGGGCCTTGGTTCAGGCTGACGCGGTGTCATGACTGGCCCCGCATGAGTCGTCTACACCGCAGACACAGCATCAGTGTTAATGTCGGTTGTTTGAGGCACAACCGCATTTCCCTCCGAAGACGGTTCTTCGTTTGGACGTGGTATCACCATCTTACCACTACGCAAATGCATACACCCAAACCTTACGGTCCCACCAAGTGTGCCAATTTGTTCGCACGAACAACCTCTGACCTTCTAACGCAGGTTTACTTGCGGTACTGGTCAAACGAGTCCCAGAACACTTGGTTTGGGGTGTATGAGAAAGTGGTGGAATGGTGTTTGTTTGAAATAGATTGGGAATTAGTTGTAGTCAAGACTGAAATTTCAATTAAAGATGAATACGTATACAAAGGAGTAAGAAATAACAAGACAAGATACTCTGGAATTAATGATATAAATTGCTTATAAAAAGGGAAATATGGACGCGATCATACATTTTTGTAGGAGTGAAAACTCTTTTCTCATAACGCTTTTGTACTTAAAGTGTTTTTCTTACAATATGACAAACACGTGCCTCTAACATGAAAACATGCATTGCTTTAAATAAGGAAATAAATAACTGCCATATGAATCTTGTGACGCCACGTGTTCGTCCACTACTTTTGTAACTTCTCACATTCTTGGATTTCAAATCCATTTCCCGCTCGAATATATGTCTCCTTATTTGGGCTTTAGTCGGCCCAGTCGACCGACATCATCTGGGTCGACCCAACAATTTTCCTCTTGTCGACGTCGACTCTCTTCATCTTTCTGCAACATCTTACCTAGTCTGTCGATCAGTCTCTGTGTGGCTGCTCTCTGGTCAAAACTTCCAGTCAACACCCCCCCCCCCATGATTCAGCCATAGCTTCAATCTCCAACACCGTCCTACCCATAAGTTGTCCCTCCTATGGTGGAACTTCCTTGCTTTGACCTTTCGGGATACATTCCTCCCTCTGTTCAACTTCACCTTCTTCCCCTTATTTCCCTCTACCTTTTTCATCACATCTGCTCTGTCCAGAGGATATGTTAAACAAGCTTTTACTGCACGAGTTTGAATTTGATTCCTTTTTCCTTTGGTCTTATTGGATTGTTGGAAGTGGCGATGCTCTCAACCATGTCCCAAAAGATAGACCTTGTTCTTCCAAATCCTCGAATCCCTCTTCACTGAGAACCCCTCACAAATTCGCAGTCTTTCAATTGATGCCCAACCCTTCCACACATGAAACAAAAGGTCGGTAGACGTTCATATTTAAAATGCACGCGCAGATTTTTCTCTTTGAATCGCACCACTTTACCCCTCTTCAAAGGATTTTTCACATCAATCCTCACTTTAATCCTCAAAAATCTTCCATTTTTGTGAGCCTCTTTCGAATCCAACTCCTCGAACTCACCCAGAATGCCCCCTAATTTCTTAGTCATTGCTTCATATCTGGTTAAAAGTGGAAGTTTGTGAACACGAACCCAAAAGACGCCGAAGTGCATGTTTAGGTCAGATGGTTGCTCCTCCCTAGATACCCTACTTAGCACAAGCAAGTTTCTATCGAAACTCTAAGGGTCGTTCTTCAAGACTCCTTCTAGATCTCTCTTCGTGGCAAATCGAAACAGAAATAAGTTCTTACTCAACTCTTGGACTTCTACTGGGTTCTTTAACTTCCAAGCCCCTGACATTGTTCTTTACCTTCTTCCTCCTCTTTGGATAGTTGAGAATTCTTCCATCTCTCCATTTTTGCTTAAAACCATATCGAAACCAAACACAAGGAGGGAAAAAACGAGACCCACCACAAAAGAAAACAGTGAAAAATCAGAAGGAAAAAAAACTCCAAGAACGGAGAGGAGGAATCCAAAGAAATGGATGGACAAAAGACTAGATAGAATCTAAAAAAGATAAGATTGAAGAAACGCAATAAGTTCTAGAAAAAAGTGTGAGTCTCTCTAAAGACACGTGAAAACGTCCATTTTTATTTGCAAATATGCATATATTAGTATAGTATATATCAAGTATAATAATATGTGCAAATTTTCTAGAAGCTGCAAAATTTCTAAAAGTTCTCACCTCCGATTTTAAGTTGTGATCGATTTTAAGTTATGTGACGGTGATATGTTAAAACGAAATTTGACGCTTCTGTTTTATAATTGACAGACTTTCATTTTTATTGAATCATTGTTCTAAACAAATCCTTGATGCGTTCATGATTGCATACATGTGATCTTCAATAAAGACCATATAACCTTCCTGCAGCAACTGTCTCCCACCCACACTTCATGAATTTTGATTAATTTTATGTATGTACATGAAAATCATCATTTATTGAGCCTATTTGTTTCGGCTTTAACAAAATAGATTTTTTTTTAAATAGATTTTACAAAACTATTTTTTAAATTATAAATTTTTTTATATTTGTTTTTTTTAATTGATAAACTAATTTTAACATTCTATAATATAGATATACATTATTAAAGATCAAAAGATAGTCAAAATTGTAATTTTTTTTTTAAAAATTGTATTTCAAAAATGATTTTTATTAAAATCAATTTGAAATAACTTCAAAATTAAATAATTTTTTAAAATTTTAATATTCAAAAAAAATTTTAAATAAAAATATCTAAAATAACATTTTAAAAATAACTATTCAAACCAAATTTTTATTTAAACTATTTATGAAAATTTTCTTTATAAATTTTTTTTTACACAAAATTATATTACACTACATAAATCATTTTTAAAAAAAAAGGGGGGCCCCATTATCTTAGTCCTTATGTTACATGAGAACACCGACAAATATTTGTCATCCTCTCAATTGTGTCGTTTTGATCCTTGAATAGTCTAATTGCCAAAATCTCTCTTTTCTTAATTATGTGCTTGAGAAAAATGAGAACATCATTCAGAACATGTGCCTGGCATGTAGAAGTAGAGCTGTAAATAAAATCCTCAATTACAAATTTCTGAAACCATCATTTATAATCTGAACAAGTCAGAGGATTAGTAAATGTTCAACTAGAGGAGTTTCAAAAAGAAATTCCAAATGTTTAACTAGAAAGAGTTTACACCCAAAAAGAAATTCAAGTACATATACAGATTCTGCCAAAAGATTAAGTGAGGGTGCTGGAAAATGACATTGTTCATAAACTTTACAAGAAATTCTTTACTTCACTGCATTGATGTGGAAGCAGAAGGTATAAATCTCATGAGGAAGCTTGATAGGGACCAAATGCAAATCACACCAAGGAATTGTAGTACATTTAGAAGGGTACTCAAAGAGCTGTTTATAGCCATGTTGTGTGGGGTCAACTCAGCTCCTCTAACTGTAAATGATAAAGCTGTCACCAATTGTGCTGCTCTATTTAACTGATGCAACCTATACACCTGTTAATAACAATTTAATAGTTTGTTATATTAATAATGAATAATGAATTTGAGAAAAGAGAGTAATAAGCTGAATTAAGCAATAACAATTTATAAGCTCAGATTATGAAAATGTTATTCAGACAACCAATTATGTAAAACTGGACAAATCTACTTGATTATATTCATTCTTTTTACCAGAAAGACTACAGAGAAGTCATAACTGAGGAATGGATTATTCTTACTTGAAAGATTAATGGAATTGCAGACCATGAAGGTGACTTCCGATATTTAGCATACTGCTCAAATGCAAATTGGACAACAATTCCAACCAAGTATGGAGCAAGAGTTGCAGAGGCTGCAGGGCCAGTCCATGGCCAGACCAAACCCATAGTGACCATGGGAATTACAAGACTAAGTACTAAGGTAGCAACAGAAGAGATTCTCTGTCCCAGTTGAGGGGGCAGAGCATCAGTATTTTTCACTGCAGTATCCAACTGTATTGGTCTCCGTAACCGATCCAGTAGAACAAGAAACGCAGCAACACCGCCATAGAAAATTGCTTCTGTGAAGAATAATATAAGGAAATCTGGAGATGAAGAAAAATATATTTTAGAGTTCAAAGAAGACATCACAATACAAAGCTAGGAAAGAAATAAATTATCAAAAAATATGATGTACAACAGGGAATTGAGCATTTTAGTGTTTGAGAATATATCATCTCACAAACCAAAACTACCAATGTTGTAGCATAGTTCACAACAACTATACTTATTACGAACTCTTTCCATGACATTCAACAAATAACTTCAATTATTAAACCAATTTCAATTTGTTTAAATGTTTGGTTGAACATTGGCACTGAAGTTGCAAAATTTATCATCCGTTATGTGGTTGTATTAATGAATTTATATTTCTTCCTAATCACCTAACGATTGAAGCCATCCATTTTGCGAAGAAAGAAATAATTCCAAGTCAGCATTGAGCATCATATCTAAATTTTGAACATGGGAAGATGTTTTCCCTGGCATCATCCCCTACTAATAGTTCCAAATACAATCGGTTCCCTTTTATCCGTCGGTTTTTATCATCAGATGTTTAGTTGATTAAAGGAGATGCTGCTGACTTACCAAAGAGTACACCCATATTCCAGTAAACACTCCACATATAAATAGATAGTAAGGTGTGCACATTGTTGTAGACAAAGCAATACAGAGCTGAATACTTAAAACAAACAAACAAAAAAGAGTTTCTTATTCCAAAGAAAAGTTACCTGTTAACAGAGAGTCCTCAAAAATGATGGAAAGCAATTTTCGCAAATAGAGTGAAGGAAAAATGAAAGAAGCCACAAGGACTGCAGGGCCCACAAACCACAATACACTATTTTGACTCCTCTCTGGATTGAAAAGAATATCACCATCTCTTCTGTATGGACGGTTATAAAATGATATTAAACCTGGTTTTCCGTCACTCCCTGATAATTGAAAAGATGGGTTGCTAGCAGGAGAGATATCTTGAGCAATTTCATTGTCGTTTTCTGGCACTGAAGCATCTATTTTAAGTTCATCGTATTGTGACTGATCCTCGGAGACAACAAAAGGAGCATTTTGTTGTTTCTGGAACCTCCCTTTTAACTGCGGCCTTTCGTTCGTAAACTTATACTGGCACGATTTGTCTAACCATGAAACTAAGACAAAAACAACATAAAGTTAACAAAGACATACCCAAAGAAGTGCATATAAAATATTGAGCAAACTACAGCTCACACCCTTCAACTTGGGTTCATGTGCAGACAAATCCTTAAGATATGAATTGTGCTATGACCCCTGCGAACTTCACACTTTATGGCAAAAAAAAACCTCCGTCAAGCAAATGGTTATAAACATCTATGGGACTGTCACTGCAACAAAAAGATAGTGGGGAAATTGCAAATGTGTCCTAATCAAAATGCTACCAATCAGTACTTTAGAGTTCATACATTACCATAATTCATGGTTTTTTAATGAAAGATATTTTCCGACAAAGTGTGATGTTCGGCGGTCAATTGCTCTGTTTCAAACCTCTAAGTCCTAATCCACATACAGGCCAGCATTCAAAGGTGTAGGTTGCAAGTTACGATAAAAAAAATCAAAATTTTTACAACTGTGCAAGTAACCATTCATATCCAAGTTGGTATGTCTTTTAAAGATATGCGCAATTGAGTTGGAAACTTAATGCAGAATATGGACCAACCAATAAATAAGCAAACTACCTTTAGTGTATATCCGCAGCTGAGAACTCGTTATCTGGTTGACAAGCAAACCTTGTGATAAGCTCAACTGAATATTAAATGAAAAGAAACCATGTAGTAAGATGAAAAGTAAACAAAGTTATACTCGAAATAGAATCAAAAACAATTTTGCGCAATGAAGCATGGATACTCTAAAATTTATGCCATATCCGATACGGTACGGTGATACATTCCAATACGCCGCCGGCATGTAACGAAGGAGTATCTGAATTTTTTATTTAAAAAATAAAAAATAAAAATTTCCGATACGGCGGCAACACGTCACGACACATCTCCGATGCGCTGCGGATACACCTAGTTAATCTCATGACTATTCATATTTCTAGAACATGAATCAATCTTCCTCATCCTTAATTCTTTTCTCAATTTCAATTACCGCGTCACTTTCATTTTCAATTACAAGAATCAAACTTTTCCTTTAATTATTTTTCTCTCAACTTTAACTATCTTTTCTTTTTCTCATAATTCCTTTCTCAATTATTATCAAGTTTTGCAGACTCAATTGGTTTTTGTTAGAGAATGATTTAGCTAATGTTTAATTTCAGTTATTTAAATACGTAGTCATATCGTATCCTAGAATTTTCAATGAATGGTGTATCTCCGTATCATCTTACCGAATAGGTATTGTATCTGATAACAGTATCGTGTCTGTGCTTCACTGATTTTGCGTAATAGCATAAAAACATGGAATTAATCCAACAGTTCTTACTCAAATAGTAAATTTAAATAAATTACTTGAGAAAAAAGTCTTTAACATGCTTATCATAATCAATATCTCACGTCAACTGATAAATAAAAATTGAACTGGATAAACCCTAGAGTATTTGCAATAATGAGATTCAATTCAAGGCTTTGATCATGTAACAATAAAACATATTCTCAATTTTTTTCACATTTATTAGATATTGTTCTATGATGAAATTAATGCAAGAAAGCAACAACATTAGTATTAGTGGAATAAATAACAACAAAAAAATCCCTAAAAAAGAGGGGAAGAAAAGTAAGGTACCTGACGGTGACGGGGAGAAGAGCGTTGAAAAGGAGGAGGAGGTAAAGAATGAAATGAGGAAGCGAGTGAAGAACTGGTACTAGTAGTATTCGTATTTGCCATAACTATGTATAAACTAACAACTCAACTAATTATATATCTGATGATGATGGTTCTGAAAGAAGCGACAAGAAGAAAAAGAAGGAAAGTTTGATGAAACTAAAGAGTGAAATTGAAAAATTGGTGGCGCTTACTCATCTAGTCATTGTGCGTGAGTGCAAGCAAGAGGACGGTGGTGAAGGGAAGCGAACTGAAACAAACAACCGCCGCTGAGTCGAGTGGTTTTTTCGCAAACAACCAACCCTGGCCGGCATTTTCCAAAACAAATATAAATTATTTTACAACCACTAGCAATGTAAAAAAAATTGATAAAATAATAAATATGGTTAAATATGTTTTTCGAACCTAATAAATATCCTAATTTTTATTTTTAATTTTTAAGAAGATTTCTTTTAAAAAATTTCCTCAAAATATTTTCTATCTATACAATTAGTTTCTTAGATAAGTGAGATTAACTGAATATGTCATGATTTTTTGTATTTTAATTTAATTAAAAAATATTATTTCTAATATTTATTTTAATTTAACATTTTTTCAACATTTTTACATAAACTCATTTCATTCAATAGCGTTATTTCTAGTTGTTTTGTGTTTGCTTCGTATTGCTTTGATACTTCGTTTTAATAGTTTATTCGAAGACAAACTTAACTAAAGGCCTTTCATTTTCGTTTTCTTTTGTAAAATCTCAAGATGGACATTTATGTGGATGTCATGGTCATATGGTTTTGTACCAATGCAAAAAGAACTAAATAAAGAAAGATTGTTTTGGAGATATCCCTTTTGAATGAGCGATGAGACTAGTAATTTGTTCATATGGGATGAAGATATTAGAGCAAAATCTAAAAATAAAGATGAGAGCATTTTGAACTCAGAATTGGAAGCTATGGAATATTTGAAAGAGTTGTATGAGGATACATAGAAGAAGAAAAAGAATTTGAAAACCCAACTAAAAGTAGAGGAACTTTTTGAAAATTTGAAAATGTTTTGTCTTGTAATTTTCTTTATGTTTAATATATATTTTGTTTTAAAATGTAATTGTTGATAAAATGTAGTTTTATGGAAATCTATGTATCGACTTTGTGTGGTAATGACATGTTGGTTTTCATTAAACTATGGTTAACATTTTGGCATAGTAACATTTGAATTTTCAGAAATATTTGTCTCAAATTTTGGCTTAGTAACACTTCTTATTGGCTTTTTGTGACATAAACTTGACATGGTAACATTTGTATTAGGTTGACTTAAATTTGGCAAAGATACACTTTAAATATGCACTACTTCCTAAGTCTAAATTAATTTAGAACCTTTTATGACACTAAAGCCAAATAACATTTAAAGAAAACATTGATGTTTTCATAGTTCCAAACAAGGTACACAAAAGAGCGCATAAGAGTGCATAAGTCATGACAAATTATGATGATACATAATCATCATATTACAAAGGTGAAAACCCTTCAAAATACATAATACATAACAGAAAATCATTGATACATGCCCTTCAAAATGGCATCTCAAGTCTTCTTCTTCTTAGCACCAATATCACTTATGTCTTCTTCATCATGAACCAAAATTGGATCATTTGAATTATTCACATGTCTCACAATGTCGCTTGTTTTTAATGTCTTAAGTCTGTCACTTTTTCTATTTGGAATTTGAACATGTTTGACTTGTTTCCTTTTTCGTATCATGTTTTTTATCTATTATGATAGCACGGTGTTAGTAAAGTAACTATCATAAAATAACTTATAGGATTAATGCTAAAACAACTTACAGGATCACTCATAGATGGCCTGGAAAAATCTAGTTTCGTAAATGCATTAGTAGGCTCAGTCATTTTTTTTATTTTTCCAATAAATGTTCTGACATCAGTTGACATTGGTTTAACATGAGTAGGTTGTTTGGCAGGCACACTTTGTTTGGTAGTACTAGTATCAACACAAATTAGTTGAATGTCTAGTATGACATTTTCTCCAATGTCTTCATCATTCAATATTTGAGACTAGGTTTACAAATTTATCCCATAATTTCTTTTAATTGCATCATCATGTTCCACATATGCAGGTTGAGTTGCAGGTTTCACAAAAGGTTGAGTTGCAGGCTCTATAGAAGGTTGAGGTGCAGGTTCATCACAGGCTCTATAGAAGGTCAGCATTAACCACTCTCTCTTTATTACCTCCTAAATATACTGAAATTTATGAGAAAAATCTGAGCAAGCGATCAATTTCAAACAATATGTTTATTATCAAAAAATTGTTGAAAGAATGTGTTCCGGTATGGGCCTCACCTCGGCAGGCCCAATACCACATGCGTCCCAACAAGCGAACTGGGCACGCCTGGCACGCGCCCCTTCGGAACGAGCAGGAGCAGGCCGCCGAGCACAAGCTACATCTCCACATCCTTTTTTGTCGTCCACCACGCCGGACGAGCAGAACCACCTGGGCTCCCCTCCGCGGGGAGAATAACGTGCTCGGCGCACGTTCTCCACGTGCTCCCCTCCGCGGGGACACGTCATCGGCCAACTGCCCACCTCCGAAAGAGCAGGTCAAACCCACTTTCCAGAGATCTAGGAGCGGTTGAACTAGGGCGAAGACCACGTCCTGATCTTCACTACGCCACGTAAGCCCTAGCAGTCATTAGGGTTGGGCCTGGTCGTCCAGCCCACCTCGAATGACCGTTGGCCCAGCGCTGGGGTCTCTCTATAAATACCCTCTTCTTCAAGAGGGTCAGGTAACTCTTCTTGCCCCCTTTTCTGTATTATTGCTTCCTCTCTGTCCAACTTCTCACTTGGGCGTCGGAGTGCTTTGCAGGTACACCCCCTCCTCTTTCTCACCCCGGCGAACAGGTAGCAGCCCAACGGAGTGTGGCCAGTCCGTGATCCCCTCCTGATCAGGTCAGATCAGTGGCGCCGTCTGTGGGAATCTGAAACTTCCCCGTTACTCCAAGCAGAAAACCAAAAGTTTCACCAAACCTCCACGGTCATGGCCAGCCCACGCCGCGATGACACTCCGCACGACCTTGCGCTCAACACCGCCACCAACGGGAAGCAGACAGGAACGGCACGTCTGACGGAAGCCGACGAAAGGGACGGGCAAACTGCTTCACCATCATCCGAGGAACGGCCCCTACAGGCCGACCACCGCCCCCCGAGCCCGCCAGCATTCCACCCCGTTCCCATCCCGGCGGGAGCAGACCCAACGGTGGCCGCTCTCTTTACAGCCATCAACCAGACGAACCAGCTGCTGTTCCAACAAAATGCTAGAATTGGAGCATTGGAACGCGTCGGTCCCCCAAGGTACCCCCAGCGGGAAGACCAGAACGGAGGTTCGAGGAGCCCCTCACCTCGACTCAGGAACCGCCGGCCACGGCTGGAGAGACACCGCCCGCAGGCGACGCGGGAGCGCACCAGATCCCCGGCGAGACACGGTCGCGGGAGGAACCAGAACGCCGCGGCGATCCCAACCGAGGAACCCCGAGGCGGGAACTCAGGCCGAAGATCGAGGACCCGAAACCCGGGACACACCGTGAACGGCTCATCTCCCCTAAGATCCCCGGCGCACAGCGACGAGGATGACTACCGCACCCCGCTATCCCGGGAGATCATGGCAGCCCCCATACCCCAGGGAATGGAGAAACCACCGACGCTGTCAACGTACGACGGCACCTCCGACCCGGACGATCATCTGGAAGATATCGAGGCTATGCTCGACTACCGAAACGTCCGGGGAGCTATTAAATGCAGACTCTTCCCAACGACTCTGAGGAAAGGCGCTATGACCTGGTACAAAAGTCTGGAGCCCGAATCAGTTACGTCGTGGAGGGTCTTGAAGGACCTATTCTCCAAACACTTCACGGCGTCCCGGCGTCACCCGAAGACGGAAGCAGTCCTCGGGGCAATCATCCAAGGCCCCGACGAACCTCTCTGGAAATACATCGAAAGGTTTACTCGGGAAGCCGTGCAGGTGACAACTTCCGACGAAATGAAACGCTACTTAATGGAACAAGGCCTGCGTCACGACTCCAAATTCTACGAGGCCGTAGGCATACACCGGCCCACGTCCCTCCAAGATTTCCTCGACAGGGCCGCGCATTACATCCGGTTCGAGGAAACACAAGCGGCCAACTCCGCTCGCGACACCCGAGACAGGGAGGCCCCCCGCGGGCACCGAGACGACGGAGCTTCGAGCCATCGACGAGGAGGGGACCGCCGTCGGGAAGACCGCCCCCGCGAACAGCGCGAACCACGCGGCCCGGCAGGAAGATTCACAGAGTACACCGCCTTGGTCGCTTCACGCGAACGCATACTGGCCGAATGCGCTAAAACCGAGTTTGTGCAGGGAGGTGTCCGTTTTCCACGACCAACGCCGCCCAAACCCAACGTGGACAAGTCAAAGTACTGCCGATTCCACAGGACCCACGGGCACGTAACGGAAGACTGCATCCATCTCAAAGATGCGATCGAAATCCTAATCAAAGACGGGCACCTAAAGCGATACACCCGAGGAGGTGAACCACCCAGGTCAGAGGCTCCGGAGGCTAAGAAAATCGAGGAACTCCCCTCTCCAGAGGACAGCGGTAGACTCCAGGTCACGCTGTGCGTCAGCCGCCCCGAGGATTGGTTCGCGAGCAGAGGATTCGGCATCCCCGAAGGACCCAGCCTAGTCGACGAGCCAATCCGACCAACCAGCCGATGGGAATACTTCCCCAGAGCCATGGTCATCTCTGATGGAGCCACGAGGAGTCTGTCCATAGGATCTGTGAAAAGGAAATTCGACGAACTCATCGCGAGCAACTCCGGCAAGATGAGCACGCTCGACAAATTCCGGGGCCGCTCCAACCCGATCACATTCTACCTCGAGGAACTACCCAGGGGATCTCCCAATTCCAACATACCCTTGCTCATACGTGCCCGAATGGCAAACATCGACGTCAGGCGCCTCCTCGTCGACGGCGGGAGCTCGGTTGACATAATGTACTCACATCTGTTCACAACTCTCCAGCTCGAC